CTGTGCCCCTCCTGACCACCGGCTCTGGCGCCACACAGACCATGTGTAGTTCGAAGCTAATCCATTATGAGCAGTGCTTTCGACTCGGAGCGAGCTCAGTGAACAAGAAGCGGGGCCAGAGACGGTGAGAGGTGGCGACCGGCGCACAGGGGTGGTGTGCCCCCAACTGCAATGAGGGCCTGCATGAGCCTGGAGCTGGCGAGGTGCGTGTGAACGCGGCCTGTTGGAGCCTGTGCTGTGCACATATGCAGGTGTCTGTAGGGGGCTGCCTTAGTGCCCCTTGCCTACTTTTTTTTTTTTTTGGAGACAGAGCCTTGCTGGTGAGTGCAGTGGCGGCAATCTGTGGTATACAACCTCCACCTACGGGTTCAAGCGATTTCTGCCTCATCTCCAAGTAGATGGCCTTACAGGTGCTGCCACCACACTCCGGTAATTTTTTGTATTTTTGTAAGAGGATGGGGTTTCACATGTTGGCCAGGCTGGTCTAACTTCTGACCTCAGGTGATCCACCTGCCTCGGGCTCCCAAGTGTTAGGATTACCGGTGTAAGCCGACCGCGGCCCATCGCCTGTTTGCCTACTTGTGTGGTGTGTGTGTGCTGTGTCTAGAGTGGGCCATGTTGTCTTAAAGGTGTGGGCTGTGTCTGTTAGGGGGAATCCGTGTGTACTCTGTACTTGTGGTTGATGTCCTGTGTTGCAGCTGGCTCTGTTTTGCTGTTGTCATGTGTCCACCACAGCAGACCTTTTATAGGCAGACGCTGCCAGGACTGAGGTACAGAGAATGGAGTGGGTTGTGCCTGCGCAACGTGACAGGGTGGCTTTGCAAACTTAGAAGGAGGGCAGCCACGGCCTGACAGGGCGGAGGGGTGGGGGGTTGGGGGGCGTACTGGAGCGAGGGAGGCATTGGAGATGACTTGGGAATGTAGTGACCTATAGTCAGGGTCCAATCCGAGCCAGAGTCTAAAAAGGGCCGAGGAGGTGGAGGGGCAGCATGGTCAGGAGAAGGACTTGGGAAAGGCCAGGCATGGCCAGGGGTGCCGGTGCAGGGAGGGCCTCCCAGCGAGGGCTGGGGGGCAGAGGGTACGGCTGTTGGGCTTGGGCAAGAAGAGAGGGAGGCCCAGAGGAGTGAGGTCAGGTGGGTCCATAGAGGCGAGGTGGAGCCAGACTGCCTGGCAGAGGGGCCCGCCGGATTGTGCCTGCCCATGGTCTGGGGGCTCCTGGCCCCTGCCGTTGGCTGATTGTCTGCGCCCACCCTGCTCCCTAAGCGCCCACATTCCTCCTCGGGCCTAGCGTTCGCCTGCTGTGGATGCCTGACACCCTCCCGCTAGGCCTCTCCACAAGCCACAGACTCAGTGTCTCATCTCTTCCCCCTGATGGGCCCCGGGCACCCTGACCCACTGGTCTGTCAAACCGCCCTTGGTCGTCCCCTGCCAGGCTTTTCCGTTCTCTTCCTAAACTCAGGGACAGGGTCACTAGCCAGTTCCCATGGCCAGAACTTGGGTGTATCCCTGTGTTCTTTTTTTTTGTGGCTCACTGCAAGCTCCGCCTCTCACGTTCACGCCATTCTCCTGCCTCAGCCTCCAGAGTAGCTGGGACTACAGGCGCCGCCACCTTGCCCGGCTAGTTTTTTGTTTTTTTTTTAGTAGAGACGGGGTTTCACTGTGTTAGCCAGGATGGTCTCGATCTCCTGACTTTGTGATCTGCCCGTCTCGGCCTCCCAAAGTGCTGGGATTACAGGCATGAGCCACCACGCCCGGCCTCAGTATCTTATTATGCAAAAAATACTCATGGATTTGGCATTCAGCAGCCCTGGGACTGACCCCAGCTCGGCAACCTAGACGAGAGGTAACTTCGGGGAAGTGCCTCTGCCTCTTGGAGTCTCAGTGAGAAAACACCAAGAACCCCTCCAGGAGCGGCTGCAGGAGAAGCTACGACGTGCACGGCACGCGTGAGACCGCGCTGGACAGAGGCACTTACTCCTGTTCCCACCTCGCCCCACCTCAGGGGATTCCTTCAATAAAAAGCAGTTTCCAAATAAGGAAAAATCTCAGCAAGGTTCTTTTATTAATTTATTTTTTGAGACAGAGTCACGCACTTTGGCCCAGGCTGGAGTGCGGTGGCGCGATCTCGGCTCACTGCAAGCTCCGCCTCCCGGGCTCAGGCCATTCTCCTGCCTCAGTCTCCCGAGTAGTTGGGACTACAGGTGCCCGCCACCACGCCCGGCTAGTTTTTCGTATTTTTTTTAGTAGAGACGGGGTTTCACCGTGTTAGCCAGGATGGTCTCGATCTCCTGACCTCATGATTTGCCTGCCTCGGCCTCCTAAAGTGCTGGAATTACAGGCATGAGCCACTGAGCCTGGCCTAGCAAGTTTCATTCTCAAAAAAGAACAGGGAGGAAGCCAGGCTACTAGCATCTTTCTTTTTTTTTTTGGGTCGAAGTCTCGCTCTTGTCACCCAGGCTGGAGTGCAATGGTGAGATCTCAGCTCACTGCACCCTCTACCTCCCGGGTTCAAGCGATTCTCCTGCCTCAGCCTCCCAAGTAGCTGGGATTACAGGTGCCTGCCACCATGCCCAGCTAACTTTTGTATTTTTAGTAGAGACGGGGTTTCACCATGTTGGCCAGGCTGATCTTGAACTCTTGACCTCAAATGATCCACCCACCTTGGCCTCCCCAAAGTGCTGGGATTATAGGTGTGAGTTACCACGCCCAGCTGTTTTTTTTACTTTTTGAGATAGGCTCTTGCTCTGTAGCCCAGGCTGGAGTGCAGTGGGTTGATCCTAGCTCACTGCAGCCTTAAAACTGCAGGGCTAGTGATGCTCTCGCCCCAGCCTTCTGCACAGACGGGACTCCAGGCATGTGTCAGCGTGCCTGGCTAAGTTTCTTAGTTTCTGGACACACATGAGGGGTCCTTAACTCAGCACTTGGTCACCTCCTTGTGGCTGGTGTTTTGGGATCAAGGAGGGACTCCCGCACTCTGCAGGCTCTGCCACAAGTGAGTCCTCGGCCCCAGCAGCCCCGCGGCCCCACTCACGTCAGGAAGTGTGGATGGTGCTTGACCGTGTCCTCCAGTTTCTCTAGGAAGGTCAGGTCCGTGGCCTCCCCAGGGCGCAGACACTCCTCATCCTGGGGGGTGTGACACAGGGGGAGGGACATATGGGGGAGGGGCCAGAGAGCATAGAGGATTGGGGTCACCATGCTGGGAGGCACAGACACAGGGGAGGGGGCAGATCACTGGGAGCCTCCATAGAGCTTCCGACCGGGGCGGCGCCTCCCTCCATCCGCCATTCACAGCCCTGCCCTGTCTCTACTCAGTCCCAGACTCTGGCCCTCTGTGGACCAGCCTGGAGAGAACGGAGAATGGGGACATCCTCCCACTCAGCCTCCAGCACGAGGCCTTGGAGGCACAGAGGACTCACCAAAATCGAGATGATGCCCTTAAACTTCTCCTCCACCAGATCACAGATGATCTTGTTGTTGAAATACTGGACGGGCTCCCACTGAGGGGCAGAAGGGAAGGAAGGCATCACCGTGGGGTCCTGGCACCCTCTCCCAGGGGCCCCGATGCCCAGGCTCCCCATGGCCCAGAGAGTGCCCTCAGGCTTGCACACACCGCGATGCCCTCTGCCTCGTACTCCTCCTGCTCCGACTTGAGCGTGAGCTCGATGAAGAGCTGCTGCAGCTTCTCGTTGCAGTAATTGATGCAGAACTGCTCAAAGCTGTAAGGAAGGAGAAGCGTTCACAGTGGCTCAGTGGGGACATAGGACCAGCAGAGGGGAAAGGCTGGACGAGGCCCCTGAGCATAGCAGGTGAGACACAGAGCCAGTCCCTGGCTGGCTGGGGAGTCACGGGGCAGGAATGAGAGGCTGGGGGACAGAAGAGAGGAAGCAGGACAGGAACCTGGGAGGAGACGGGGGAAACGTGGCACTGACCTGTTATGCTGAAACACTTCGAAGCCATAAATATCCAGGAGCCCGAGAACCGTGGTACTCCGCCAGTTGGGGCTCTCCGCATCCTAGGGCAGTCATTCAACCGAAGGCGTGGGCCCCTGCGTGTGCCAGCCCCACCCCGCAGCCCCCCGCCCCACTGATGGCCCTCCCTCCTGCCTCGGGAGCAGTGTGGAGTGAGCCCTCACCTTGGAGGCCAGCGACCTGTTGATCTTCCCCACGAGCCAGGTAAAAGTGCGGCTGTACACAGCCTTGGCGAGAGCGTCTCGCGCATAGGCGGCCTGCTCCAGGTTCAGCGGGCTCAGGAGCTGTGGGCGCAGCGTGAGGCAAGGAGATGAATGCCACACAGCTCTTGCATCCCACCTGCCCCCAGGCTCAGGCAGACCAGGAAGCCGTCACCACTCTGCACGCCCAGCTCCAGCGAGCCTGCGGTGTGGGGAGGGGTGCTGGTAGTGGGACCTCAGGGAGGACAGGTGGCCGCCCCAGTGGGAAGGTGGTAGAGGGACAGGTCTGAGTAGCTGGGATGACAGGCGCCCACCACCACACCCGGCTAATTTTTGCATTTTAGTAGAGATGGGGTTTCACCATGTTGGCCAGGATGGTCTCGAACTCCTAACCTCAGGTGACCCGCCCACCTCAGCCTCCCCAAGTGCTGGGGTTACAAGCATGAGCCACTGTGCCTGGCTCTCTGCTTCCCTGAGCAGCCTTCCTTCCATCCCTCCAGCACTGCTGAGGGGACCAGGCAAAGGGGAGTGATGGGAGTAGGGGCTGCTTTGGAACACATGCCCCTCCACACCCGAGGGCAAGGGCCCGGCCTCACCTCCTCCCCCTTGGCGATGATCTTCCTGTGTGTCAGGGCTTCTCGCAGCGTCGAGCCTTCCACGCTGAGGAGCTGCCAAGGGCAGGCAAGGATGTGGTGAGGGCGCACCCCCAGCCCCCACCCCCGCTGTCCTTCCCTTACCCTCTGCCCGCCCCCGCTCACCCTGGTCAGATACTTCAGTTGGTTCTCGGTGGTGACCTGGGCGTTGCTCTCCTCGTCAGCAGCAAAGTGGATGTTACCCAAATGCAGGACGCTGGCCACAATGCTCAGCAGGTCCTGGGGAGCAGGCCGGGGGCAGGAGTGGGTGAGAGGGGCCAGAGAGCCCCAAGAGGGCAAGTAGCGGATGGCCATGCAGGGGTGGGTGGTGAAGTGTCTGAGAGGAGAAGGGGCTGGAAGTGGGAATGGGTGTTAAAGGTGGAAGGTGATTCTGGGGGTGGGCCAGGCACAGTGGCTCACGCCTGTAATCCCAGCGCTTTGGGAGGCCGAGGCGGGCAGATCATCTGAGGTCAGGAGTTCAAGACCAGCCTGGCCAACATGGCGAAGCCCCATCTTTGCTAAAGATACAAAAATTAGCTAGGTGTGGTGGCAGGTGTCTGTAATCCCAGCTACTCAGGAGGTTGAGGCACGAGAATCACTTGAACCTGGGAGGCAGGTGTTGCAGTGAGGTCAGATCGCGCCATTGCACTCCAGCCTAGGCAAAAGAGCGAGACTCCATCTCAAAAAAAAAAAAAAAAAAAAAAACAGGAGCCGGGCGTGTTGGTTCATGCCTGTGATCCCAGCATTTTCAGAGACTGAGGCAGGTGGATCACCTGAGGTTGGGAGTTCGAGACCAGCCTGACCAACATGGAGAAACCCCGTCTCTACTAAAAATACAAAAAATTAGCCAGGCGTGGTGGCCACCTGTAATCCCAGCTACTTGGGAGGCTGAGTCAGGAGAATCGATTGAACCCGGGAAGCGGAGGTTGCAGTGAGCCGAAATTGCACCACTGTACTCCAGTCTGGGTAACAAGAATAAAACTCTATCTCAAAAACAAAACAAAACAAAACAAAACCAACAACAAAAGAAGGAAGTTTTGGGGGTGTGAGAGGAGGAAAGGGAGGGTCCCGGAAAAGGCCTCACCTCCACTTCATCCTCAGTGAAATCGATGACTGTCAGAGCCTTCCTGACCACCTTCCAGTCACTCTTGTCGTTGATGGAGGAGACTTTGGCACACTGGCCCTGGAGGAAGGGCACGGCTGGGTTAGAGCCCTGGCCACGGATCCCTGGGTGGCACCTGCCCTGCCTGCCAGCCACTCACCTTCACCAGGTACAGGTAGCTCTGGGGGTTCCGTTCCAAGCCCAGCCTGCGAAGAGTCTCCTCCTCGCCGCCCTCCAGCAGCTGGTAGAAGACGTGGAAGTTCCGCTCCCCGTGATTCTGGTGCACCACTCGTGACTTTTCCAGGAGGTAACTGAGGATATGGCCACCCACGGGGGCACCCTGTGGGCAGGGCAGGGCATAGGCCTGGTCGGGGGAGTGGGAACAGAGCCATCTGCCCGTCTTCTCCCCTGACTCCTGCGCTTGGGCAGCCAGACCTGGGCGCCAATTCCAGCCCTGCCACTAGCTGTGTGGGCTCAGGCACGCCACCCACGCTGGACTCAGTTACTTCATCTAGGAAGTGGGGAGATTCAACTCCATCCACCTGGCGGCTCCACCTGGATGCCTGGCAAGCATCGCAAATTCAGCAGGCCTGAAACGGAACACCGGACCTTCCCCCTCTTCAAACGAGCTCCTTCCTGCTAGTGTCCGCCCATCGTGGTCAGTGGTGAGTACATCCTTCTCGTTCAAGCCAAGGCCCTGGCAGTCCTCCTCCAAGCCTGTTTTTCTTCCATACCCTACATCCAATCAGGCAGCCGATCCTGCTGCCTTAACTTTTAAAACATCCAGAATCCAATCACTGCACCACACTGGTCTGAGCCACAGTCACCTGTCACCTACACGATGACATCAGCCTCCTAACCGGTTTCCCTGCTTAGCCTGGTTCCCCCACCATCTATTCATCTACTCCCAATCTCCCAGTGAAGCAGCCAAAGCCTTTTTTTTATTTTTGGAGACAGGGTCTTGCTCTTTCAGTCAGGCTGGAGTTTTTCACTATAGCCTCAACCTCCCAGGGCTAGGCTGGAGTGCAGTGGTGAGATCTCGGCTCACTGCAACCTCCGACTCCCAGGTTCAAGTGCTTCCCCTGCCTCAGCCTCCTGAGTAGCTGGGACAACAGGTGCCTGCCACGACTGTAGCTGCCGCGCTTGATATAAGTGGGTCACCGAACCACGCTTTGATACTCCCAGCCGGGGCGTACGGAGTGGAAGGACTGTCCTCCAGAAAAAATAAAATAAGGGCTTTGATGGAAATGGACGAAGCAACCAGGCTGGTGCAGGTGCCTGGTCTAAGCAGCGGGGAAGGCCAGGGACACAAAAAGCCCTGGAGATCGAGGGTTCCCGGAAGTGTTTCCAGGAAGCACAGGAGGGCAGCAGGTGGCCAAGAAAGGGAGCAAGGGCGTGAAGAACAAGAGAGAGGCCCACGTGGTGCAGGCCCTTTTATGGGTCATTTGCCCAGAAACATTTTTGTTTTTGTTTTTTGTTTTGCTTTTATATGAGATTGGAGTTCCTCACTTCCTGTCGCCCAGCGCTGGAGGCAGTGGCGACTCAGCTCACTGCAAGCCCTGCTCCCAGATTCACAGCCATTCTCCTGCTCAGCCTCCCGAGTCAGCTGGGACTCACACGCCCGCCCCACCACGCCTGGCCTAATTTTTTTTGTATTTTTTAAGCAGACAACAGTGGGTTTCACCATGTAGCCAGGATGGTCTCGGATCTCAAAAGAGCACCCCTCCTGAACCTCGTGATCCACACGTCTCAGGCCCCAACAGTGCTGGGAATTACAGGTGTGAGCCACCGCGCTGGCTTCTTTTTAAAACTCTGAGGTAGAAGGGAGTTCATGTGGGACTGGGTGAAAGGGCTCACGCCTGTATCTAGCCGATTGGGAGGCCGGGGCATGGTGGATCACGTGAGGTTTGGGAGTTCAAGACCAGCCTGGCCAACATGGGGAAACCCCGTCTCATACTCGAAAATACCAAAGAATTAAGCCAGGCTCGTG